TAAATGTTAGGCAAAAACAACTTAGTGAAAACACCAATTTGAAACGAATATTAATATTAATATGTACATATTTTATTTTTTTGGTTTGCTGTTTTCAGTAGGAAATTAGCTKTAACCTTTCTAACCTCTAACTCCAATACCAGAAAAAAAGTTTTCCATCTCTGCTGAAATCGCATTACACCTAACCAATATACTCCACACACTTCCTGAACAAGTCAATTAAAACAAAATACGAAAAAAAAAAAATAAATAAAAACAGCTACAGTATACGAAACACAAACAAAAATCGAATAAAAGATTTGACACACATTCGCTGACGGCGTTGGGGCATTGCGTATACGTCACGTGCAACAGTTTGGCAGCCTTTATTTATTTTTATTTGACGTTTTTGGCGTCTGCTCAAAAAAAGCACAGCAAAAGCTCTGTGGAAATGGCATAGGCAGAAAAAAAGCTCGATTGAATTCGCTTTTGTTCTTTTTCTTGAATAAACAAACGAGTTGAAGCCGATTAACAAGCTTGGCCAGTCCAGTCCGGTCAAACCAAGCCAAGTGCTGCCAGCCGAGAGCATAATAAATCATATGAATGGGCACAACCAGAAATACTCACACATGATCACACGATCATTTAGTGGCTCAATGGCCCAGTGAATTTTTGTCGTCTGTTAACCCATTAATGACCAAATATTGTTAATCATCAATTTGATGCTGTTTGATTTTCAGATTTGATATTAATTCATTGGCCATTGGCGACATTAACATAGATAGATATCAATAAATATATCTGGTTTGGCTCGACTTCAAAACGACGCCGCAAATTAGAAAATTAAAGTCAAAATGCTTCCCGAATCGTTAAAGTCAATGCCGAACACTGTGGGAAAAGCCTCGTGAAATCAATCATCAAATTTTCCGCTTTGCTAATGAAATGGATGTGAAGATTGCATAAAGTTCAGTTTTGTGTGTTCGTGTGTGTGCGATAAGTGAGAATGTGTTTTAGACCAGCCCTACCAGAGCAGCCCAAGGGCTATGTGGATCAAAACTCGACAGGTAAGTTGCACCACAAGAGGTAAGTACGAAGATCTTTAGCTGTAATTGATGCCACCTGATGAATTGCCTGTCAATAACGGGGCGTGACGCTTAAACAATGGAATGAATGCTTACAAGCTTATCTGTCTCTATCTTTATATAATAAAGCATGTTAGTTGACAATTACAACTAGATTTATTAAGATAATGATGACAGTTGAAGCAAGAGTGAAGGATTTATGGTTGGGGAATATTGGAAGCCATGTTTAATGTCTGGACAGCAGCATTATATATACTATTCAAATTCTATCCCTATAAGCCCTATAGAGTATGCATTATGTTTAAAAAGTATTAGCCTCTACATTTTATATAGATTAAGCCATAAATTTTTAAAATATATTGAAAGAAAGTAAATCATAGGTTTCATATATTATACGCCCTATATGGTTTATATATAATGATTAGAAATCTGATCATATAGAATATAAATCTTTTAGAGCCTAGTAATATGAAACCTACATATATAGAATGAACCCTATATAAACTCTATAATGCAGAAATATTGATAAGAGAGCAATGTCTTAATTGTTATAGTTATAAAAAAAAAAAAAAAAAAAAAAAAAAAAAAACATAGATAGTTACATAATTCAACAATTGAAAGATCTTGGATCTTGGCTTCTACACGCAAAACGTCTGTGCCTAAAGCATATTAATTGAATTCTAACTAAATACATAATCTACTCGCATGAACTTTAAATATCACTTTTTGTTTATAAATTCAATTTGGAGTTGGTTAAATATTCTATTGGCCTCGACATTTCCACAAGGCAGCAGCCGTTATATGCGCATGGCAGAGGTCATTCAAGCTTTCAGTCATCTGCTATAATCAGCAGCTAGACTTCCGCCAAAGAAAAGTTTCTAGCTAGCCTAGCATTATTTGAGTTTGGCTGGAAAAAGGCTCATTGGCAAAGCTCTAGCTAAATTTGTATATTTATTGTATATTTATATTTTTTTATTCATATTTATATTATATATTATTAATTTATTTATTTTACATTTCCTGACAGTCAGTCAACGGTTCAGTGCTCTACTTAAATTGTTTAAACAATTTAATTAGGCTAAGCGCACGCTAGCCCAAATGACTTGGCTTTGTTTACTATGCTATTGATAGCCTAAAATGATAGCGTATAATATCAGCATTGAAACAATGATCTAATAGATTTTAAATTTTCATTCATCTTTTGTGTTTGTTAATATTATGACAAAATAAATTAGTTTGTTAAGCAGAACTGCGCCAAATTTCAATGCTTCAGTCGAGGGCAGAAGTCAGTGTTGTGAAGTAATGCATAATACATAGTTAATAACTGTATACTGTTTATTTGTAAACGTATCGAGTTTCAAGGTCTTTCAATTTATTCAATTCTGTTTAAATATATAATGCAGTTTTCAATAAGAAGAAAAGCACGTATAAACTTAATTGATTTAGGTTATGTTTGTAAAAAAAAAAAAAAAAAAACTAGTATATAAACAACATATATTTAAAAAAAAAAAAAAAAAAACTTTTAAGGCCACTCAGCTCTTTGTTCTAATTAAAAGAATACTAGTTATTTAAATATAGCAGCCAAAATAAGAGAACAAGCTTGGATCTATACTCATATGCCAATATGAATAAACTCTTATACAGCTGTGCCCAAGTCTTATACTAACAAAATGCTGTGCACACATTCATTTGCATATGGGAAAGTTACCGCTTAAAAACTTCGTTAACTCTGCTTACGTTACATAATGCCTGGCCAAAAATAACAAAAAAAGCTTACGCAGCACATCTCTATCGCTTATCTGCGGCGTGCGTAACCTTCCGTAGCAGCTACACGCCGAAAAAGCTCGCTGCGCTGGCGCACACTCAAACGAGCGCGCTCTCACGACGCCACTCGCTCTCGCGCTCTCTCTCTCGTACTCTCTCTCGCTCTTCTTACGATTGATAAGCAGCAAAGTTTCGACTCGTCGACTGCGCTGCTTTCAGTAATAAGCAACAATAATACGCCATGGTGGCTGAAGCTCGTTTTGGTTGTTGTTGTTGTTATTCTGTTTCGCGCTGCCGAAGTTGATCGCACGCGCCTTTCGCTGCTGTCTTCAAGAGTTTTAATTGCAATCAAACGATCGACAAAAGCGCAGGTTAGTTCCCAGTCAGCTGCTTCGGCAAGTGCGTGAGTGTGTGTGCCAGTGTGTGCGTCAAACACTAATTAATTAGAAAACTTGTTTCAAAAATTCATCAAAAGTGCAAAACAGACTAAGAGAAATTTATACTCTCTTCACGTGGCTGCTGCTGCTGCTGCTGTTGCYGCTTCTGCTTCTGCTGTCACTGCTCAAAGACATTTTTTTGATCTATATAAAAAGGCATCCAGTGCATAAATCGTTCAGTTTTCATTGAACACCGCAGTTGGTGGAATTTGCCGTTACCGTTCTATCCTGAGTTCTTCTGAGCCTTTTTAGGTAATTACCTGTTCTAATTCTTGTCTTGTGTGCTAAGCAAATCTTGTGACTTAATTAACAGTTCATTTAAATATGTTGCGTGTGGAATGCTGATAGCGGTCGCCAGCGAAAATTGTGAATCGAACTGCAGAGCTCTCAAGTTATTCATATCCAAGCTTATCGTATGTGCATATTTTTGTTTTTGCTTTATTTTTTGGGGCCTGGCCTTTGTCGGCCCAGACGCTATCTACAGTTGTTGCTTTTTATGTACTTAATATTGATTAAATGGCATTTAATTGTTGTTGTGCGCCTGCTTGAATATCAAAAACAATGTACAAGCACACGCCTTATACCCGACCCGACCCAAGCCGACCCGACTCTACTTTGTTCTACCTTCTATCCCATATACAAAGTAGCTTAGCAAGTGCTGGCTTTTTTTATACATTATTATTATTATTATTATTGTAGTTGTTGTTGTTTATTAACTGCCGCATTATTGGCTTATAATTATGTGCATTATTTTGCATTAAATGCAATGGGTAGTAAAATCTTGCACGTGGGAGATAGCGCATAGAATTATAAACCATCTTATATAACAAACGATATTTATTGGCAAAACTTTTGAATCGAGTCTGAGCTGAATTTGAATTGAAAGAGAATATATATACAGAGAGATATAGGTACTGAAGTGAATCGAAATTGATTTCAAATGGAATACACAAAGATATACATATATATATACTTATATATATAGAGAAAGAGGGAGAGATATACGCCGCTGATACGGCGAGTTCAAAGTTTTTCCGTCAAACACTCATTTCAGTTAGTTACAAGTACTTAAGCTGATTTCGCACTGATATTGCAACAACACTCACTGAAATTTTTTTTTTTTTTTTTTTCCGAAATCGTATTAAAAAATATGTTTTTTTTTTTTTTTTTTTTTTACGTGCAATCGCCTTAGATGCGACAAAGCTTTTATTTTTAAAACATTCAGACTTCAGCTCTTTGGAAATATTTCGAAAATACACAAATACATACATACATGTATAAATATTGTATATGTATGTGCAGCTGATACTTCTGCTGTTTTTTTTCTATAATATAGATTCTATATGCATGTTGTTCCAGTTTTTTTTGTTTCTTCTTTCTTGTTTTCTATTTTTTTTTTTTATTTTTTATTTTCGGTTCTATAAGTGTTATACATGTGTTATGCACGCATTTCTTGATAAATGCGCGCGCTATTCGCGTTCCATTCGTCTCTTATCAAAATTACCATTAAACTAAAGAAAGATTGCAATTTGATTTGGCGCAGGGTCAGCAATTCTATTAAATGCCACACTTGATAACCAAATAGTGCATATGCCACTAGACTAGACTAGAATCGTACGATCCACAAGAGACTAAACTTCAGTTGCTCAATTTGAATTCATTTTATTTTATTTTTCATATTTACCTCATAATCGCAGCGCCGCTTTGTACGTTATGTCAATAGTTGCTCACAATTCACACATTTAGCATGTTTATAATGATACAACCATGAAAATTTTATCTGAATGCCAAATAAGAACAAACACCCAAAAAAAGAAAATTATTTCATTCGCCTTGCGGCTCAAACCAGATAAAATGTTGATGTGCGTCTTATAAAAAGAGCTAAGCAAATATGCAGGCAATGGAATTTAAATTTATTGACTTGCAGTTACTCTGTAATTTATTTGCATAAATTTAAGAAAGTGAAATGAACTTTATAACTGGAACGGCGATGCAGGAAATATTAATAAATTAGCTAAAAATAGCTTATGGAAGTCGAAATTTGTGGATTGCTTCAAATTAATGAATTAATTAATTTATTAATAACTTAATATTAGCTTTGCATTCCATAATATGAAAGTAATTAAACAAATTTTTAAAAAAATTATTTTTGGTTTAATATATTTTTAGACTTTTTTGGAGTATGAATATCACCTCTCAGCAAAAAACTATAATAATAGATCCAACCAAATATATTTTAAATAATATAAAAGCTACGATAGAGGCTTAAGATCTTCAAAGATTTTCAACAATATGCTTAAACAAAATATAAAAATTTCAGTTCTTTATCTATTCTAATCTTAATTGTAATAAAATATTACTTTGTCGGTTATGTTTCATGTCTATGATAACAGAGATTCCAGAGCACAATTTAAATTTGAACATCATAATTTTTGTGGGCAAGATATCAGCTGCTTTATATACACGTCGAAGAGTCTAATTTCTGTTAACCAAATCTTGTTGGCCTGTGTAGGAGCAAAAGAGAAGAATATATTAACTTGACATTGATTTTTATTTAGGTGAAAGCTATTCATATAAAACAGTGCAATATCTAGACAGTCGACTGGTTCGAGTCGAGCCGGTTTTAGCTGCAGCAGTGAATTTCTTTCTCTCTTTTTTTTTTTTTTTTTTTTTTTTGTATGAACTAAAAGTCAAGAATGGAACAAGTCAAACCAAACAACAGCTACCCTATAAACCATTATAAAGAGTGAACTAAAGGTAGTTATTAAATAACCGTCACCGTCCACAATTATCAGTAGAATAGCAGGAAAATTATAAATTAATATTTATTAGATTATTTCAACCATTTTTTTTAGTATTATCTATCAACGGACTTTTCAATAGTTTTCTTATCAGCGGCTAAAATGCCGCTAAAATATTTTTTCAGCAATTCGCAGCACTTATTAATATTATCTTTTATTAATATAAATCAAATTATTTATATAATTTTGTCTAAGTGTCTAGTCCAAGATATTTCGTAGACACTGAGTCAAACTTATCAGCAGCTAAAAATTCCAAAATTTGTTTTTAGCTTTGGCCTTCCGCGGGCCTTCCTCACTACCAGAATGATATTATAGATATGATCCAAATAGCTATCAGTAATTTGGTGTAGCGTCTTCTATTAATATTTATAGGGCATATATAGAAGATTACTTTAGCTGATATTTGTTGACACAACTTTTATTTCTGCTTGCAAGCCAGATAAATTTCCAACATCAATCCAAGTTTAGTATATCTTTTATCTTTTACTACTTCTACAAAGACCCTTGTCACCTGTGCGATTTTTAATCTACCTTTGATTAGTATGCATTCACGAGGTACTTAAACTTTAGACAGTTACGAGTTGTTATAATTGCTTATACTATTAACCAGACTGTGATATCTCCCATTTACTGCCCTCACTCACAGGGTATATAGATCTCTGACGTCGACTTAGCCCAGTTCAGCACGTGTTAACGCAATTTGTTGTTTATTTTCTAAATTATATACATATATACCTTACATATTAGCAGCTAGCATTTGAGTTCTGCGATATTTTCCACTGCTATATATATCCATAATTATTTCGAATCTTCTTTTGTGGGCGTGTGTTGCCCATACTGTGATAATACTCGAGCACAGAGTTATGTAAGCCGTGTGACACCTGACGTCGAGTCTTGGGGATTTTAATGGATGAGCTAATTGAAAGACATTCGCAACTTGTTAATTTGCACCATATATTTTGATAAATCCATCAGTATGTAATGGAGCTCATCGAATCGAAGCCACACGCAAGTCTCATATTGTCCTATATGAATTTTTGATAACTCAATAAATGTGATTATCGTATGCCTGCTAAAATGGAAGATTTCGCATGACAATTGAGCTATTTCGTGTGGTCAGGTGTCACATTCATCAGTTGACATATGATATGTTTGCTACACACCTTCTTCCATCTCGGTGTTCAGAGACAATGTGACATTAAGTATACGCACGTGATAGAGACTTAATTATAATTATTGCTGTCATTTCTGCGACCTACTCCGATGAGATCAGCATTGTTTTGTAATAGCAAATGCCGATCAATAAAGGTGACAGCATTAAAGGCCATTTTTATGCTCTGTCCGCATTCCAGTTAAGAAGCTAAAAAATCTGACAGCTATGCGTAGGGGACCTGTTCTCCGATTCGAATTGGATTTTGTTTTACTGCCCACACTTTCAGAGTTGACTTCTGATTTATGGCCGTATTATCGTGAACCACTTATAGATATTCGCGCTGAATAATATTACTTTATGGCTCATTGCAGAGGTTCTGATTAGAACACAAATCGATTTTTATTGACATCTCTCTGCATAAGCCAGCCAGAGGCTTTGAGAACCTAGGGCAATATGAGTGCCTGCCTTCTGGTACTCGCAGTATTGTAGATAACGTGATAATTAAAGCACGAGTCGCACTCACAGCAAATAATTAAGCCGCCAGCCGAGTAATTGCAATTCATATGAACTTATTAATAATTTAGCGGATAATCAAACTTTCATTTGCATCACGTATAACTTAATGAAGATATGAGGCAACGCCCAACTAGTACGATTGTTACTATGGGAATCACAATATGGTAGTAGTAGTAGCAATAAAGTAGTACTACAATAGTACTAGTAGAAGCAGTAGTAGTAGTAGTTGCAGTCGTACTAAAAATAGTAGTATTAATACTGATAATAGTAGTATTAGTTATTGTAGAAATATGTATTAGTAATAGCAGTAATAGTAGTAGAAGTAGTAGCCGCAGTAGTAGTTGTAGTAGTAGTAGTAGCAGCAGCAATAATAATAGTAGTAGCAGCAGCAGTAGTAGTAGTAGTAGCAGCAGCAGCAATAATAGTAGTAGTAGCAGCAGCAGTGGTAGTAGTAGCAGCAGTAG